CCAAGCTGTCGCTGGGGGATGGCAAGATGCTTCAAGTCTCACGCTTGCGGCGGGCGTGGCATGCCATCACCCTCTACTTCCGGCAGATGGAGCAAGACCGGTCAAAGGTTGCCTCCGATGACCTCGATTCCATGCTCGGAGAGACCGAGTTACGGGATACCAAGGTCAGCTTCTGGCGGCGGTACCGTCAGAGGTTCCCTCCAAAGTGCATCCGGCGGACTCTATACCCTCTCGCGAGTGAGTCGGGAGATGAGCAAGCGGATGCTCTGCGTCTTCTCCATATGGAAGGTTAAGTCCTTGCAGTTCCAATTGATGACTACTCAGAAGAAGCGTAAACTTGGCGACAACCTGTTTACCGAGGAGGCTGAAGAAGAGGAACCGTCCGCTCGCGATACCGAGCCCTACCTTGACAAGCTCCAGACCCTCATGTTCGCCTACGCGATGGCGGGGGTGGGACCCCTGCCGATGCCGGGCCCTGGTTTCGACCCTAAGGACGAGCTCACCCTGGGGGCGGACAGTACACTCTATGCTCAGGTGCCCCTCGACGTGGCCACGCAGTACTATACTTCAGTGCCAAGCGATCTACGTATGCCCTACCACCGGGTAAGCGGCTGGCCTGGCTGCAGACACGTGACTCGGAAGAGAGGGCTGAATGGACCGCCCGCTTCCGCGAGAGTTCACACTCGTTGGGCGCTATTATCAAAGAGGTCTACACAGCGCGGGATGCCCATTGGCTTCCTCCTACGCCGGTGGAACCGGCCCTTTTGACTCATGCAAGAGCAAGGGAGGCAAGTGCAAGTTGGGACAACACCGTTGCGGCCATGTCACCAAGAAGGAGCGGGTTTGTGGCGCTCCGAATCATGGTGCAGCAGCCTGGCCTGACGGGGCCTTGAAGAGGCCGCGGCAGCCTCTTCGGGGTCTGACGAGGAATCGCCGCAACCAGGGGGGGACCCCTCATGGCTGATTTGATGTCAGGTCCGAACGCACCATTGACCATGGCAGAGCTTTTCTTTTTTGTGGCTGGCGACGCATCTCGATCGACTGGTTGATCAATCCTCAGCATGATCTAGCTGATCCCGAATTTCAACAGGAGCTCCTGCAGCAGGCTGATTGCATATGTGCAGCACTTGATTGCAGTTACAGTACCAAGTCCAGAGCCCGTGAGATTCCCCGCCGTTTCGAGGACGGTCGACCCGCTCCGAAACCATTGCGGTCAGACGAGCGTCCCACGGGTTTGCCACACCTTCGAGGGCATGACCTTCGTCGGGTGACCAGGGACGATCAGGCCTGTGACTTCGTCCTCCAGGAGATTCAGGAGTTGTCAGATCGAGGAGGCGCATCACTTCGCGAGAACCCGGCGAGGAGCCTACATTGGGAACTGCCCCGGGAGAAGCAGATGTTGAGTTCCGGCATGGTGCAAGCAGCAGCGCCTCCGACGCAACATATCTCTCAATGGCCGCCGCTGCAATGCCACCACCAGCACGATCCGGATGAATGGAAGCCTTATACGTCGGACGGACAGCGGGTGTTCCCCAGCCATGAAGAGGCAGAGTACACGGCCCCATTATCCTTCGCCATCGCCGTCTCTACCAGTTGGTGGGCGGTGCGCACAGGGCGTGCCAAGCTCCGAGTACCTCGCATGCCACCGACCGAATCCGTGGGTCGGCGCGAGCAATGCGTGACTCCCTTGGCGATTCAGTTGGGGCTTCGACCCATTGATCCTCGTGAGCGTGCCAGAGTTCCCCAAGTGAAGAGAGTCGCTGAGTTGCTAGTTGACGGGAAGCTCCCTTCCAACTGTATCTACGTGGGGCGGGGCCACCATACTCACAGGTTGCCCCTCTCTGAGTGGTGCTCTCCGTACACTTGAGGGCACGATTGCACTGCCGATGAATGGCCCCCTTGCTACGTGGAGTTCATCATGTCGTACAAGGCGGCGGAGCTCCCAGCGCTGGCAGGTTGCACCTTGGCTTGCGACTGCGCGCGAGAAAGTGACGTTTGCGAGGCTGACGCGCTAGCCGGCTTAGTCTTCGATGCGACGGCGCCCGAAGCACCTCGCTACCTTGCCGCAGCTGGGGGGGTCAGCGAAAGCACTCTGCCGCATCTAGAGCTCTTCGTTTGGGGGTTGTTTTGAGCAGGGGAGTTGCAGCGAGCATCCCAAGCCCTGTGGGTCTCTTCACCCAGCAAGGTGTGGTTACTTGCTTTCGTCGCCTTTTTCCTGGTGACTGGTTCCAAGACTTCAAGTTCCCAATGATTGAGGACCTGCTGAACCAAGCGCCGTTCTGCGAGTTCCCCCGCTGGAGAGACCAGCGTGACCTCAAGGCCGACGGGCCCTTGGGCCCACACTTGGCCGGCGCTGCCTTGCGTCAGAGACAGCGTCATGCTGAAGGCCAACAGGCAGGAGCTTTGAGCCACAAAGCCGCCCTCTATGCATCACGCCCCAAGGAGCTTCCGCGACTTCGTGAACAGAGCCTGGACAAGAAAGTGGGTGAGCGCCCGAGGACCTTCCAGACTCCGGCGATTCGGAAAGTCACTTGCTCCCGGGATATCGGGCTGACGGCTCTATTGGTGATCCTCACCTCATGGGCGGATGTCACATACCCTTATGGCCTGGTAGCGGGACTGCCAGCCGTAGGTACAGCGCCGCCCTGCGGAGTCTTTCCGGAGCAACGGGGCCGCCTCCTCACCATGGAGGACGTGCTTGACAACTGGGAGACCCACAACTACAAGACGATCGCTGCACTCAAGCCAGGCAAACACGAGTCTTGCTCGAGCAATCTTTGAATGATGCCGCTCAGGGCTTCTGCTCCACTCCATTGACCCACGCTCAGCTCTTTCGATCTCTTTCGTGAACTGCGAGGGGAGCCATTTCGGCTCATTCCACGCTGCGTTATTGTGCAATCCTCAGGCAAGAAGAGAATCATCGACAACGGGGACACTGGAGGTCAATCCGAGCGGTCATCTGACTGGAACAAGCTTGTCTTGTGCTCTCCATTGCGGCCAGCTCAGCACATAGGAGCCGTCGCCTCGCTCCTTCGGATGACCAGTGGCACGCCATGACGAGCCACGATGCATGGCTCTCCATGGAGGAGAGGATTGGCCCAATGCCTACCGTCATTCCCCGATCAGCCGTGAGGAAAGCCGTGGTTGTATCGTATGTTTCTGGCACGCCGAACGCAGCGAACCAGCCTTCCAGGTGTATTCCTCCTTGTTGTTTGGCCTTCCACTCGCGGTGACGTCGTTCAACAGATACGCAAGACTCATTGAGGCCCTGGGGCGGAGGTTGACCTACAGTTTGGTGTCACTGTACTTTGACGATGCCCGCATTACTGATCTTCAGTCGAGCTTGGGATCTAGCCAGCAGGCTTTCTGCCAGTTGAACTCCCTTCTAGGAACCCCTTTTGCCGAGGAAAAGAAGCAGTTGATGCGCCCGACCGGGACATTTCTTGGCCTCGATCACGATTTCACACAGCTCGGCAACGGCTTCGTTACGTTTTGGGCTCGAGACCTGATTCAGAAGACTACCGCTATGGTGAATGAAGCTCAAGCGAACGGCAGCCTGTCCGCAGGCCAATCGTCCAAGCTCTACGGCATGCTCAATTTTCTCGAACAGGGCATATACGGTAGGTTGGGATGCGCAGGCCTCGCGGCCATCAAGGCACGACAAACAGAGCGAGTTCGTGACCTCACCCCAGAGCTACAACGCAACTTCGACGTGATCCATTCCATTCTTCGCCATCGACCCTGTCGCGAACTTCCGGCACCAAAGCAAGGCACTGGAGGCTTTTTGATCGTTTGGCATGACCAGGAGGGACCCGGTCAGAGAAGCCTTCATCACCGACATCCCTAGGGAAGTCTATCAGCTGTGGGGGCCTGGAGATAGGCAGATTGCCCAGCTGGAAATGGTGATGATTATTTATGCCCTCACATATCGAGCACACACCTTTCGGGGTAGGCGAGGCATCTGGCTGATCGACAACGTAGCCAGCCTCATGTGTTTGATTCGGGGCCGTTCCCACTCGCCCGATCTCGAACGTATGCGCGGTTTGATTCATGTCATGTTATACGCCTTGCGGACATGGATGTATTGGGAATACATTCCATCCAAGAGTAATTGGGCTGACGCAATTTCAAGGCTTGGTTGGTCTGATCCGTGGTGGCGAACCAACGGATTCACCCCTTTTTCCGTCACTTGCCCGTTCAGTTCTGTCTATGGCACCTACCGCTTCCAGCAGTGATCCGTGTCATGGAATTTCTCTAAGTGCGTTGGGTATCTTTGAAGTGCATTGGGAGTGGTTTCCGGAGTGACTGGAAGGATATCACAAAAGGTCTGATTGTGACAGGCCTGCTGATGCAGGTAACCCAACGCAATTATCCTGCAGGAGATGGCAGGTTGAAGACAATACTGGCAAGATGACCGTGAGAAAAAGGAAGTGCTGCCTACCGTAGCGACGATAGTCAACCTTGGACAGAAATGTATATATATATATATTATATACATAATCATTTTAGATTGTTCTTGCCCAAGCTTGCGCCCTCCAACATGGTCAAAGATACATCCAAAGAAAAAGAGAGAGAGAGAGATGTATTTAATATAGAACAATTTCAACAGCAGTCAGAAGTCCAGTTCCTTGACTGCACCTGTTCCCATTTAACCAGGCCGTCAGCTGGCTCAGGCCATCGTTATCATCAATGCCTCCAACCGATACTTGAGCGAATACTATGTGAATTGCGGCGAGCAATGCGGAGCTTGGGAGTGCGTCGCGGAATCTTGACGATGCAGAATTGCAGTCTGGCACATATTGTACGCGTACCCATTGGAATACTTCTGGTAGGCTCACACCACTGTGAACCAGCATGCTTGGGCTATAGAAAGGCATGAAGGGTTGGTGCTCCATGGCGTCCAAACTTGATAACTTGGCAGGGCTACCACAGGAAACCTTGCCTTTGTACGGTAATGTCATGCGACAGAGGCAACTGCCGAACGTTATCCTTCCGGGAAGATGGATTTGAGGAAGAAGAGCTTGAAAACGATCATCAACGAACTTGCCCGACCTTCTTTTCCTGCTTCATTGATGTCAGGGATGTGATACAGGCAGTCTCTTTTGTTTGATTCTAGCTTTTTGACCATGTTATGGTTTGCATCACAACGGAGGTTTTTTGATGGGTCTACTTTCTTTAGAAGTCGTCAGTGGTGGCACTGGAGGGGGAGATAAAGTGAGAGAGAGAGAGAGAGCCAGAGGGAGCTGCGAAATTATAATTAGGCATTGCTGCTAATTCTTCCTTGGCAGTTCATGTGGTTTTGGACTGAGGCGACAGCACTAGATGATGGCTGCTTCACTCCCCGCACAGCGAGGGTGACCTTGGGTCGCGGGCGCTTTTGCACTGAGCTGCCGCCCATGTCCGGGCAGCTCTGGGTGCCCAACGCTCCAAGGCGCCACAAAAGCCAGCAAGCTCAGCACACGATTCAGAGGTTTCGGTTTGCAAAACGCACGAGAGAGAGAGAGAGAGAGAGAGAGTGTGACATCCAGCTTGGGTACAGGCCAGAGCCTGTGGCGATCAACTTCGAGGTCCGTCATGAAGAAACTACACATGGAGACTCGTTGCCTCTTGGCTTCTTGTTTTGCCAAAACGACCGTAGCTGGGACCGCAGTGGACGGTCGTTCCTATGACCGCAGCGGACGCTGCCATTGAGGCGGATTGTTGGAAGCTGTCCAGAGCTCGGTGACTGGCACCCCTCAGAGGGTGTCAAGCTGCGGACCAGCGACACGGCGTTTCCGCTGTGGTGGCTTGGTGAAGTGATTGTGGCATCTTCCGGGGGGGTCCCCAGCGGGTGGCTTGGTATTGTTTACGCTATACGGGTTAGGTGGCCAGCTAGCTAGCAAAACAGTGGTCACTGGTGCTCAATATATATATATAATATAATATATAGAATATATCGCTATAGGGTATGACAGCTATACTTCATGTGCTCTATTTTCTGTTGAGCAATTATATAGTGCCCGGATTGAAGGCAGACATTTGGTGTCATTTAGTTCAATTCACTCCAATATGCTTCTTTTGGCACCTTGAGTGAAGGAATCATGATTCTGTTTCGTCATCCAGTTCACCCAAAGTTCCGCGTGTCGTTTGCTGGTCGGATTTGGAACACGCGATCCAGACAATGCGATAGAAGAGCTTGGAGGACCCGCTCATGAATCCGTGCCCTTGGCAAATGATTTCCCTTGATTACCAAAACATCAAAATGTAATTACAAGAGGGGATGGGCCACACCTTTCAGCATATTTCAACTGTATATATACTGCAACTATATACTTGGCAAATTCAGAATGTTCAAGATGCACTAATCTGAAACTCACCCTTTTGTCAGCTTGGTCGTATGATTGAGGAATGCCACTGTGAAAGTGCCTCGTGACCTTTCGACTGTGGAGTTCAAATTCGTCACTGTCCGGGTCCAAGTTTGTCCGAACCGTCACTTTTGCAGTAGCCTTGAGCTTGTCAAGCTTCATCCCAGGGTTTCGCATTCACTGCATCATATATTTATTTCACAAGTGCCGTCAAGCTGACCAAATACTATTACCACAAGATCCTTTACACCTCATTTGCAGCATCAAGCACATTTGGATGATGGATGTAGTACCTGCATGTATTTGCAATTATGCTGTTGCTTTTGCATGTTTTTGTGGGAATGTCGCCGTGGCCGGCATCCAAAATCACAGTGCAGCTATGTTCAGCTACACTTGCACTTGAGGTGTCTTCCGAGGGTGAGCCCACTTGGGAGCCCATCTACTTCAACAGATGCTTTCGCAGCAATCGGGTAGAAAAGTTCAGACTCGTTGTACCTACGGCACATCTTTTTGGAGGATGTGGCAGTTCATGCGTGGTCATTGGCGCGCATTGAGTCGGATGAACCAACATCGGAAATACTCCACTGTGCTCATTGCTGCTAGAGACACTATGTTTGCGACGCTTCTCCACGTATCGCCAACCCAGCACATGCGCCCAAAGTTCCAAAAGATCATGTGTGGTATCTAAGAGTAGTCGGCGGGCTCTTGTCCACGGTGCCAGCATTGAGAGGTTGGTAGTTGCACTTCATGTTCTTTTAGTGCATGGCCAAGCGTTTAGTACTGGATTGGATTGCAAGTGCTGAATTGAAAGAGCCATGATTTCTGGTGGAGTTGCTCAGGATGTGTCTTTCTGAGTGGTGCGAAGGAGGAGCAGGTTTCTGTGGAATGGGGAGAGGCATAGCCCACAGCCTCAAGGAGGACTCAAGGCGTTCCAAAGCTGCTTAAATGGCGGCTTTGGGCTTGAAGTTTCGATCTTGCCGTTCTTAGGAGGAAGGGCAAGGACAACTCAGGCAGTTGACCTGTTGTTGAAACCAAATGTGAATCAGCTGGAATGGTCGGGACAAGACCGACTACTGCAATGCCACCTTTGTTGAGATAGCTGTGTGTATGTGAACCTGCTTGTGGGTATTGCAAGTGGAGTGGTGGAACGGCCAACATGCCATAGACGCAGTGGGCATTATTCTTCAATTGCTGTTTGCTGGTTCATGAAGGGCATGAAACAGAGCTTAGCCAGGCAAAATTCAACATTGCCTCAAGCCGTCCTGATGAAGGTAATTAGGGTTCAAGTATTTTTTTGCGCAAGTTGCGCTGACACAACACACCAGTCACAAATCCCATTTCAAGAACAAAGCAAACATCGCATTTTTGTAGTTTCATTCCTGCGCCTACGCATGTATGCAACCTTCGGTAGTCCAGTGTTTGATGCATTTAGCACTTTAGCACTTGGGTGACAGTTGGCTTGTTGCATTTTCATTTTGAATGCATCTTCCTCGGCACTGTTCAGCTAACAATTCGGGCTCATTGGCTCTCAAGGCGTGCTGTATTGCAAGGTCCCACCCAATAAAGTACAGCAGGTTCAAAGGCTTGAAGAGGTGGCACCAAGGTTACACTGTACAAGTCTTGGTAGTGGCAGCTTCTGCGCGAACAGGGCAGTCTGCAAGCTTTTTAAAGTTCCGCCTGTGAGACCCTTTGGTGGCCTCCTGTCATGCCAGTGATTATGTTTCTCAGAGACTCAGATAAGCTAAGATGCCTGATGATGCTCGCACGCGCACTTCTTGCATTTGTCTCCCTCCACATGGCAACCACATGTATGAAGATTTTGCAGAAGTATAAACAAATAAAGTGTTGTTTGACAAGATGATGTTGCATCGAAAGCACCATAGTACCCAACATGTCAACTGACTTGTTCTGTTGAGGGGGTGGTTGTGGTTGTTGTTGTTGTTGTGGTTGTTGTTGTGCCTATCCAGTGTCAGCTAGCATTGCCAATGACGGCACAGGTTTTGGTGACACGTGGCGCTGTGTGACAGGTGGCCGAATTGATTCTTCGAAGGGTAGTTTTGTTCCCTGTGGCGTCAACATGAAACAGCGCACATCATGAAACAACAGTTCCAGGCACATTTGACTTGACAACTTGCTCTCAGTTTTCATGTTGACAATGAACTGTTCCAGGGCTGCTGCTTTTGGCTTCGAAAAGCCCTGTTCCACAGAAGGGTGAAACCCGCAGCGACAAGCGCTTGTTGGCTTCCCATGCGCCTTTAGTCCCTGATTCTTTGGGCGCTGAAGAGCTTTGGCATCGCACGACTGCTTGTTTTGCCAGTCTCCCACTTGGCTAATTGTGGCTAATTAAAGGCATGAACACGCACACACACATATATATATATATATATATGCATACATTGATACATATGTATGTACACATGCACACACGCACATATATATATATATAGATTAGCATACTTTAGCATACCACAGAATTCTACATGGTACTGTTCCGCAAGTCTGTTTCACGGATTGTTTGCGTGTGGTGTTGAAACGCTTGATGAGCATCGATGGGTAGTTCCAGTCGCTGTAGAATCATCAGCGATCCAGGTGCTTGGATCGGTGATTCCCAGCGAGAATCTAGACTCGAGCGGGGAAATGTCGACCAAAGTGAGCGCTCAAGGAGTTTCCCTGACCCAACATTGACAGTTGCAAACATTTATGTGGAATTTTGATGTGCATGAAGCCGTGGTGCTTCCATCGAAGGCGTGTGTGAAGGATTCTTTCAGCAATGACGGTGACGGTTCTTTCTGCGATGATGGTGTCTCCTTCAAGTTTTCACCAGTCATATCATTCACAGTGATAAAGGGAGGGGTGCTGAAGGACATACTCTTTGGGAGATGTCATGCCAATGAGCTCTTGTGTGACACCGCGGCCAGGCGAAAGCTGAGTTCGTAGAAAGTGACATGGACTTGTCTGAAGATCGGGTTGCCCCTAATTAATTCTCCATTGACGCTTGCACGCTGCATGCACACAACAGGGTGAGAGTTTGTCTAGAGTCTAGACGAAGGCTGTTTCTGGTTTGTTTGCCGGTGACGGGCGGGCAACTTTTGAGTAGAGGAATGAATGCAGGGAAGGGAGGGGCAAAAGAGAGAGCTCCACACAAGCTGTGCACGCCATTGAGAGTCTGAGTGCAACATGTGAACAGTCTGATGTACCTCGAGTTCTCGAGAAGTTACACAGAGTCAATCCTTATTGCGATGTCCTTGTTACTACTAGTGATGCCCTTGCTACTAGTAGCGATGCCCTTGTTACTGTGAAAGTAAGCATGTACTGAGCTGCATTGACTCATGTCTCTTTTGCGGTAGGGCCCGAGCCAAGCTTCCGCTTTCGCAGAAAGACGCTTCATGCTTGCATTTGCTTGCGTCTAGTTTCCTTTAGGGCACCACCTCCCTTTGCTAGTGGTTCCCTTAGTTGGCACCGGAGCTTGGTTGATTGATCGGTCGATCGATGTACTTCGATTTTGACGATCTCCCATCTTCCGGTCATGGCCGCCCGCGCTCGACCTCGGATGCTGGCTTAGATGATGAGCCGAGTTGGAAGTGTTGGGATTGCGGGAACAATACTTTTATGTGGACCGGAGAGGGTTGGAAATGTGCCGATTGCCGAGGAGCTGATTTTTACCAGACCACTCAGGCTGCCCGGCACGAAACTGAGGACGGAGTTTGGGTTTTCATGCCCCGGCATGCTTCGCCACCGCAGTCCCAAGAGCCTCAACCTGAGCGAGCGTCGCCGAAGGCTAGACCGGACGCTGGCAACCTGGCAGGCATTGGACCTTCTGACCCGCCTCCCTCAATGGGAGAAGCTCGAGAGTTTGAAGATTCCGAGACTGCCACCGAGGATCCGATCGTTGACCCCGACACCATGACTGTTGTTGGTAGGCGTCGCAATCGTAGATCCAGGAAGAACAAGAGCAGAGCCCAATACACACAAGGTGATGCAGCAGACAACATTGGTGGTATTGGTCGTACAAGCATTGAGCGTGATGTTGACATTGATGTTGGTACAAGTCGTTCAAGGCGTGAGCAGTCGAGTGGGTTGACACAGTCGAACAACAACCTTGTCCGTACATTGCAGCGTGCTGTTGATGTTGAGGCCAAGGGAAGCGACCACTCTGAGTGAAGTTGGAATTCCAAGATGGGCCCTGAGAGAGGCCTGAAGTATCGCTCAGGTGCCCCACCGGCACCGCCACCCTGGCGGTACTCACGAGACGACTTGAGAAGTTTTCCCAAGTGGCAGAGAAAGCTGGCCACTTGGAAGAAGCAGATCACAGCTTACATGGGTCGCCGTGACGCAGCATTGTTCCTCTACAGCTCATTAACCGGAGAGGCTGAAGAGGAATTGGAACATTGCGATTTGGATCGTTTGGATTCAGCAGATGGCGTCGAGTACATTGAAGCTACATTGCAGTCAGGTCTTGCCACAAAATTGGTATACCAGAAGAGAAAGCTGATGAGCGATTACGAGAGCATCGTGAGGCAGCCCTCGGAATCACTCAGATCTTTCTCGAACAGGTATCGTCGTGCTGAGCAAGCCCTGCAGTCGGTTTCAGTTGATGTCAAAGGAATGTATGATGAGGAGAGTCGGGGAAACAGGTTGCTGGAGAGAAGCCGTTTGAGTCCAGAGAACCAACGTTTAGTTCTCATTGGTGCTGGATACAATCTTGCCTATAGTTCAATCTGTGAGTCGCTGTGCATGTCTTTTCCTGAGCACAAAGCACCACCACAGTTGTTCGGCAAAGATGGACAGCCCATCAAAGCTCGTTTTACAGGCAGTCCCAACTCAGCAGCATCTTCCTCTTCTTCCTCAGCGGCTACCTCGTCTTCATTCACCTCGCAAGGAAAAGGGGGGGAAAGTTTCGGCCAGACAGACCAAAACATGCCTACGTGACAGAGCATGATGAGCCACCTCTCGACCCAATCGACGAGGACGATGAAGAAGAGTTGATTCCAGATGCCCCTCCACAGGGCGAACCCGTCGATGATGACTGGCATGATCCGGAAGAACCTCCGGAGGAACCTGGCGAAGAGGACGAGACAGACCCAACCTCGTTGGCACAT